CAGGTTTGGGAGTTAGTCCCCAATGAGGATGTGGATGGATACTTCCCAAAAATTCTTAACGGGTATAGTACTCCCATACCTGAGTCCAACCCGGCCCGTTACCATCCCTACAAAATGTGTGCCATTCTAATTACTTAGCGAGGTTGGAAAAACACCTCCCCTACCCCTAAATCAGAACCAAAAGTTGTTTGATGTCAGTCAATAAAGAGAAGCCAGAAAATCCCGTTGTAGTAGCCAAAGCAAGGCCTTCTCAGAATGCAGCCAATTCTTCCATGTGGCCGTTTTTTAAAGCAATGTTTTCTCAGAATGCAGCCAATTCTTCCATGTGGCCGTTTTTTAAAGCAATGTTTTAATGAGGCCACACTTATTGCATCATCGAGATACAGTTTTATATTGATTTGTATTAACATTGATGATCAAATGAAATTCTTCTTTTCTGATTTAAAAAGAACCAAAAAAGAAAATAGTAAATGTTTGAATTTTGCTCTGTAGGCCCACTACGAAGATCTTTTACCTGAATTATTACCCTTCTCCATATTACACGACAAGATTGTGAGAAGCATATCTTAAAATACTTTCCCTGTTTGAAATCATTGAGCTCGGAAAATTCATACACTACCATATGCTTGGAGTATCCTAGCTACTTGCCAATATGAAATCTTAAAAAGTAATTCAAATTGATTAATAATATATATAATTATGTTAATCATCATAATATTGCATGCGTACCTCATGAAATACAATTATGTCTACTGTCTACCAATACGTCAAGTATAATACACATCTTGAATTTCAAGAACTTAGACAGCTGCAATGGAGAAAACATAAGTCTACTGTCTACCAATACTGTCTACCCCAATACGTCAAGTATAATACAATTATGTCTACTGTCTACCAATACTGTCTACCAATACGTCAAGTATAATACCTGAAATTATCACTGCAAATTAAAGATCCGCTAGATATTCATATATATATTTTGTATAATTCCGTCTCATCATTATGTTAGATTGTCCATTGATGGCTAATCCGATGCTCAACTGCAAGAGGGAAATCTAACCCTATGATTTGGTAGAGTAATTCATAAGGTTGCAATTAAATCTAGTATGTGTTTGCATTTGGAGACTTGAATATATGGATCCTTAATTAATTAGATAAGTAGTGGCGGAGCCACTTCTAGTCCTGGAGTAGCTCTGGCCCCCCAGATATATTATATATAACATATAGAATTTGTAATAAACAACTTATAATTTAAGTTAAAATTTCCTCTAAAACAAATTAGACATTACTCAATTAGAAATATTTAGCTCTAAACATGTAATTATTGAATACTTAGGTGTTTTATATACTTGTATTTTCTTCTTTGACCCCTCAACTTTACAATTCTAGCTTCGCCCCTGTGAATAAGCACTTGGACATATATATTGTTGTTTTAATCATGTGCAACTTGTGCATCGATTTAGATGAGATAACGTATATCTTTGTTTATTTTTTTTTTCTTTCAGTACAAGTGATAGTCTAAACTACAAGAGAGGGGGTTTCTCACACACACAACTAAGTGCCATGGGGGTTCGAATTTGTGACCTCTTGTCTGCAATTTAATATCATTTTCCACTGCGCTAGATTCCGTTGACTATTGCTTTTTGTTTACAACTCAAAATAGTCGAGACTCCATTATTGCGAAAAGTTTAAACCCATATGCAAAATGAAGAATAAAACCCATAAATTCATGGATGAAAAGGCCAATAATTTAATAACTCATATAGTATTAGGGTTCTTAAGCATAAAATGTGTGGCTTTTTTGGTATCAAATGACAAAGTTTTGGTTCTTAATTGACAAAGTTTTTAGGGTTTAGTTTCTTAATGTTCGGTTTGTGTAAAAAAAAATAGGGTGCATGAAAATTGGGTTTCTAAGTGAAACTTTTACAATAAATTGTTTTTCCTATTCTAAATCATATTGTTAATCATAAATTTACCATGGAAGGAGGCATTCCTACTTTCTGTAAATCACAGTTCTACATATATACAAAAATAATTTATCAAAAACACGAAAAGAGAAATCTCTAATGCAATCAAGTAGTAGGAATTCGTACTTTCTTTGACGGAGTCAAGTATTTTTCTTTACCATGCATCTATAATACTTGCTTCTTCGTTCTCAAAAGCAAAAAAAAAACTAGTTGCCTCTTCATTACAAGAGTCGACATAGCTGGATGTGGTGTGACTGACTGCTGTCAAATCGAACATATTTTTCAGCTTGAAACGTGCAACCCAAAACCCTAAACTGGGAAGAAGAGATGAACTATGAAGTCAATAATAGAGGCTCTTCTACTTTTCCAGTCGAAATGGAAGCCAAAACCCTAACTTAAAAAGGACAAAAAGAGGGACGTTTGGTTCCTCCTGTCCCCTTATAATAAAATATAAATTAAAAACCCCATCGAGAGATATTTCACAGATAGTCAGGTGAGACTTCAAACTTTCTGCAAATTAATTCATAAAGTCCGATTGGAGAGCAGCAAAATGACAGAGCCAAACGCACATTGCTCTCTCTTGATTGGAAATTATTCTGGTTACATGTGAGTAGTTTTAGCCTAATACTACTCTAACGACAGGGGAGGATGATGAAACACACTTGATAATAATTTTATTTAAAATTCACATATTATGGAGGAGCTTTGGGGTTCTGGGTAGCTAGCTAGCGTCTTCTAGCTGCCGTTTCTCTCTGGCAATTGAAGTAGACGGCAGCGACAGGAAGACCCAGGTCGTTTTCAGCTGCGAAGCTTCGAGCACTGAAATGATCCCTTGAGGAAGGAGGGTTCACAGACTGCCTTCTTTTCTGCTTGAAGAGAACAAACACAAACCTGTGGATGCCAATGTTGGGCCTTGGCATCTCATAGCTCACCACCTCTCTTCCTGTTAAATTAATTTACAATTAATCTAACCACAGTTAAGTTAAAATGGAAAAATATTTCAAAAGATAAAACATTATTTGACTTACCAAATGTGGCATCTGTGGTGCCTGGAATATCTGTCACAATCCTGGGTTTAGTTCAAAATTAAAGCAAACTTGTCAGTTCCTAGCTAGGTATCTTTATACTTAGACAACTTTTAGCTTGCTATTCTAGCTAGGTATCAGCTCATATATATATATATATATATATATATACACACACACATATATTAGATGAAATTTGAAAATTCTGAATATAATTTATGAACAAATAATTAAGAAACGCAAACAAAAACAAGGTGCATGTAGAGGTATACAATGAATGTTTTACAAACTATTAGAAGCTTTGACTGAAGTCATTTTTTATGCTTAACAAGTACGGAAGGACTGTTAGGTGCTTGTATCTGGACCATTGTTTTATGGGTTTATATGAAATCACACGATGTTCTACTTTAATCTAATCTAAACTACCGGCAGGGAGAAGAGGGGGGAGGGGGGAGAAGAAGAAGGGGAGGAGTACATCTGCTCTAGCCTAGCATGCTCATGAAATTAATTAAGTGAATATTTATTTGTCTTTTAATTGATTAGTTTGTTGCTAGGTTAATTTGATAGTGGGTTAATAAGTATACCAGTGCAGGTGCTCCCTTAAATAAGGATCACTAGGGCCAGGAACATCTGGGTCTGTCATGATCTGCAATAACAAGAAAACTATATCACAAGAGACGCAAAGTAAAATCAAGTTGATCCGAAATGGAGACTCATAGAGAAACAAAAACTAATTAATTGAAGTGGGATCTTTGAGAAATATTGGAAATTTGTATAGATATATATACCAGAGTAAAGAAAGTTCTCATATCTCCTCCTTGAATCTCAACTCTAGGTTTGGTGGTGACAGCAGAAGGATAGAGCTCATATCCATTGCAGACTAGCTTGGTGTTGTAAGTGACAGACATTTTTGTTGTTGGGGTGAAACAATCAAGAACATCTCCTATTACTCTCCCAACAACCAGAGGCTCAGACGTTCTTGCCATTTTTCTGAGAGAAAGAGAGAATGAGGAGGAGTGAAAAAGAAGGTGTAGCTATTGACCAAAGATTAATGGATAAGAACTCAGGAGGAATTAGAGATGTACTTCTTATATTGCTTGGAAATGGAATTCATGTAAGGTTGTATTTATAGTGTTTTCAAGCGAGTTACTTTAGATCTCTATTATGTGTTTTGAGACAGGCATTAAGAAGAAGAAAGAGTATAAAGGCATAGAATATGGACATCTCTAGAAAACATTGTTAGCCAGTCCCCCACCTCCCACCCTCTGTTTTCTATGTCACATCAATAGAGTTTAGTGGTATCGTTTCCAGAAAAATTCCTATATATATAACGGTTGTATTAATGTATTTTATATGTTAATTCTTTCTATAACATGGTTTCTTAAATATTAGATGTGAATAAGTGAGGCCCGATCCTCACATAATTTGTCATAATTAATTATATGTGATGACCAAAAGAATTCCAGAAATATATATATTTTCTTTTGGGTAGGGAAATTTTTCCTCTCATTCTTTTTGTATTTTCTTTTTTCACTAGAGATTCCCACATTTAATATTTGTGACGCATTAAAATTTTATATGTGACCCCATTGGCACCACAAATAATTGTTAGTCTTTCCCACCTAGAATCACGCTCATGTTTGTGAGGACTTTGGTCTTTCCCACAAACTGCTGTTTTCTTGGCCATGTTATAAGTGACGACAAAATAAATTCCTCACATATTCCAATCACATGTGACGAATTTACCAACTTCAATTTTAATTTCATGACATTAGTCAAAAATTTTCTTGTAATGATCTAACTGATCAAAATCAAACGTAATAAGTTGGGTGACGTGTTGAGTCTAACACATGAATTGTGTGCTCTAATATCATAGTATAGTTAGAACATCCAACTCAAAATTAATTAGCAACAAGTGAAAAAAATTTAGGATCTTATCACGACTTGAGATTTAGGACTCGTTTGGGAGTGCTTTTGGAACAGTTAAAAGCGCTTTCTGACAACCAAAAGCGCTTCTAACAATGTTTGCCAGAAAAGTTTAGAAGCGATTTTGGGTCATAGAAGCGCTTTCTGGAGAAGCACATACCATGTGCATCTTCAGGAAGCACTCCCAAGTGCTTTTCCAAGAAGCACTTTAATTTCTTATGAAAATTTCAACGTATTTATAATAAAAGCGCTTTTGGTAGAAACAATTATAAGTAGAAGTGCTTCCTAGATAAGCAGTGCCGAACGAGCCCTTATACTACTAATTAACAATCTCTCTATGATTAACTAAGAAAAATGTGGTGCACGCAATAATTTTTGCTTATTTAGGATAATATGCATAATATACTCATGTTATATATCTGTGCCTCTCATATTAATTGGGTCCCTTGGAATTGGTTCTTGATTTGATTGGCTGTGCACTTAATTATTGAACATTTTTATTCAAAACGGGGGGATATTTTTCCATGGTCAGGCCAGAAAACCATTATTATATACAATCCTGCATGGTGGGGTCCTTACATTTCCATGGCTGTCAATTCATGCTATTATATATGTATATATATATATATAAAAAGCAATACACAGCAAAAATAGCAAAATGTCTAGGATTCTTGCTGAACATTCACAAGCTTATAAAGGAAATTCACCTTTTGCAGTTAGGGTAAGCAGAAGAAAATGTTGAATGTGTGCATATATAAATATGGTACACGAGAGAATTTCAACATTTTCAGAAAGATTCTCTATCTTTGAAGACAGGCTGAGGGCATAAAGGAACTCCACCTCAATGAGTGCCTGGCCTGCTGCAACAGCTTTTGCTGTGAGAGGTCATCTCAATATATATATAACTCAGATTAAAATAAAAGTGATTTTCAGAGAAGTTCCAGGAATGGCAATGAGAAAGAAGGTGAATTTTCCATTACAAGAAGCCAAACTACTTTTTTTCTGTATATTCCAAGCTGGACCTCATGTGAAAGTGTTCTATGCCATACTGCATGCACCACCCCATGTTTGAATGTTTCCGTTCTTTTGCTTTCTTTGCACCTTTTTTTTTTTTATACCTTTTTTATTTATAAAATTGTTAATTTCTTCTTTTTTCCCACAGGATCGATGCTTCCTTCCTCTATCGTTTCCAATTTTTTATTTTATTTTAATATGATCTGAGTTTGACACAGTTGAGTTGAGTTGAGTTGAGCTTAAACGTTTATACCTTTTTGTATATATTATTTTTATTATATATTCTCATGAACGTCACCTGTTATGGAACTGCAATCTGTGCAATCTGTACGTGCAATCTGTCTGCGTCACATTTCCAGTCAATTATTGCTATATTTTACCGAAGAGTAAATGGCAAAGCGATTTGATCTTATCCACCCATTGGTTTTCTTTAGATCTTATCAGTAAGATAAAGAAGATAGAGAGAGCCTTTAGATTTCTAACACACTGGGGAGCTAAAAAAATTATTTGAGGTTTCTTAAAAAATAAAACCCTATTCTAGCATCGACGAGTTCTTAATCTAGCGTATTTCTTTTCTTAATATTTGAAAAGCTTCTAAGTTCGAATTTCTCTTATCTCTTTTCTACGTAGAAGTTCGAAACATCGTCAAATGTAGCGTATGGAAAGCTTCTAAATTTGAATGTTCTCCTTTCTATTAATCGAAAAGGGTTCATGATCTTCACATGTTGATCGTTTGTGACTATTAACCTAACCAGTTGGATTCGTACCCAAAAAGCAAAAAAACTATTCGACAGGACAAGCATTTCTGATTGATCAGTACTTAAAAGAAGAAAAGTCTACCCGTTCATGATTGTAAGGGGGGCAATCATACCACTTACGGTTAAACCTGGAGACTTTCTGTTAGTACGAAAGTTCAGAAAGCGAACCGCAGAAGCTGTCGTGAGGGACTTCAATTTTCCCGTGCCCAAAATACCTGTGCCCACTTTGTTTCATTCTTCATATTTTGACACTTGTCCTTTACCTAACATAAAGTTAACTTAACATTTACAATCATGCTCCATATTATTTAGTTTAAATTTAGCTAAAAACACACAAAAACTATTATAGGAACTCTCTATTAAGATTTTAGTGGGATGGACTCTTGGCCCACCACTAGTAACATAGATATTGTCCCTAACTTAACCACTTATTTAGCAGGTGTGTGGTTTTATACAAAAAAACCTCGATGTTATTATGAGTGAAACCATTTATTATATGAGACTTTCTATTTTGTTAAATTTTAGATGTGAGACTTGTGTATTCTTCAACACTCCCACTCACGTGGGATCACTTTTTAGTGGACCACACGTGCAATCAATTTCACATCGGTCATTTTTTTTCAATTTTTTTTCATTTGGGGTTTGTTTGATTTTGGTTCAATTTGGGGGTTTTTGTTTGATTTGGGTTTAATCAGGCCCAGTCAACCGGTCCGCTCTGATACCATGTTAAGATTTCTGAGTGACGGACCCTTGGACCACCACTAGCAATGTTGATATTGTCCCCAACTTAACCACCTGTTTAGTAGGTGTGGGGTTTTATATAAAAGGCCTCGATGTTATTAGGAGCGAAACCATTTATTATATGAGACTTTCTATTTTGTTAAGTTTTCGATGTGGGACTCGTGTATTCCGATATTGGTTGCACGTGTGGTCTACTAAAAAGTGATCCCACGTGAGGAGGAGTGTTGAAGAATACACGAGTCCCACATTGGAAACTTAACAAAATAGAAAGTCTCATATAATAAATGGTTTCACTCCTAATAATACCGAGGCCTTTTGTAATAAAATCTCACACATACTGGGCTTTGCATGTGGTTAAGTTGGAGACAATATCGGTGTTGTTAGTAGTGGGCCACATGCCCGTCTCTCTGAGTTTAACATGGTATCAGAGCGGGTTGATTGACTGGACCTGAATTGAGCCTTTACATTTACCCAATACGTAGTGTTTACATGTTGGACTTGAATGTTTACCCTTACCCCTTACCTAATACGGTGGTGTTCATGTGTTGGACTTAAATGTTTGACTCCGATATGGACTTGGCTCCACGTGTGGCCTACTATGTGGTGGTCCCACATAAGGGGGTGTGTTGAAGAATATGAGTCTCACATCGGAAACTTGACTAAATAAAATACAAAATATAATGAATGGCTTTACTCCTAATAACACCGAGACCTTTTGTGATAAAACCCCACACCTATTGGGCTTTGTAGGTGGTTAAGTTGGGGACAATATCGATGTTGCTAATAGTGGGTCGTTGGCCAGTCTTTCTAAATTTAACATGGTATCAAAGCGGGCTAGTTGAATGGGCCCGATTAAACTCAAATCAAACAAAAACTCCAAATTGAACCAAAATAAAAACAAACTCAAAAAAAAAGAAAGAAAAAAAAAGGTGGCGATGTGGAATTGGTTGCACGTGTGGTCCACTAAAAAGTGGTCTCACGTTAGGAGGAGTGTTGAAGAATACACAAGTCCCACATCGGAAACTTAACAAAATAAAAAGTCCCGTATATTAAATGGTTTCACTCCCTAAATGCAATATATATATATATATATATATATATGGTCCGTCTATATATAAAAAACAATAGTCTTAATTAATTCAAGGCTTAAAATATACATAAAATAAAGCCTTATTAAATTATAAGGAGCCACTAGGAGTTGTTTCTCCCTCCTCAAATTTAGGAGTTCCTAGAGGTCTCCCTATTTTAGGAGGTGGATATGGAGCATGGTTGGAGTTGTATTTTTCCAATTCCTCCATAAAATTTATCTCAGAAGGTGATTTAAGGAGCCCATTGTAGATGCTCTAGATCCACGAATTTCTATTAAATATTAATTAAACATCAATAAAATATTTTAGATGTTTTCGTAAGGAAGTTTTAGAGTAGAGAACATGGATGATGAAGGGAAAAGGAAAATTGTTTTTCGATGTTGGGTAGTTACAAGGCTGACGGGATTTTGTACGTCAGAGCATGACACTTCTATTGCTGGTGTCGTCAACTATGGTAGAAGCTCAGAGCCTCCTGACTTTGTTGGTGTAGGTGGTGTCGTTAGTTGATGTGCAGTAGTCGGTGATCAACTTATGCAATAGTGGTCGCCCTGGTGGTAACGATTCATCAATCA